CAAAATCATACAAATAGGAAACATAATTAATAATTTTAAAGTGTGTTATTTTATTTTTCTTATTGAAAGCCAAAAAAATTACAAAGAGCAAATGTAATGTAGTAATGGCAAATTATACTTATAGTCTCCAATGAATGATCTAGCTAATAAAAAGACTATTAAAAGAAGAACAATTTATACTCAATGTAAACAGAAGAACCGAAATATTAAAAAAGACAAGAAATCAATGAAATAGAAAATAAAAAAGAATATCAGTAGAAACAGAAGCAGGTATTTTAAAAAGATCAAAAAAATTCTCAAATCTCTAACCAGACTGACCAAGAAATAAGAGAAGAAACAAATTATCCATGTCAAGAAGGAAAAAAAGGACATCAATACAGACCATCCACAATTGAAATAAGGGAATATCATAAACAATTTTATGCCTATAAATTTAACAACTTAGATGATGATGATAGACACACATAATTTGAAAGATACAAACTAGCAAAGCTATCAAAGGAAAAAAACCTAACAAAGAAGAAATATATAACTTATATAAAATTGAAGAAATTGAATTTGTAGTTAAAATAAAACTCCAGAACCAGATGGCTACACTGGAGAATCAAATTAATTTTATATGAACTGTACCGGAAAAAAATCAATTTTATATGAACTGTACCAGAAACCATAAGGGGAAGGATCCCCAACTCCTTGGCTCTAAGGTTAGTAGCTTTCCATTGATACCACAACCAGATTTAAAAAAATAAGAAAAAGGTACTGACCAGTATCCCTCACAAACACTGAAACAAGTACCTTCATAAAGCATTAGCAAATCAACCTAGGAATATATAAAATGAGTAATACATCACAATCAAGTAGAATTTATCTTACAGTGCAAGGCTGTTCAACAATGAAAAAGCAAGAAATTCACCCTATCAACACGATTAAGAAGAAAGCCCATATGATAATCTCAGTCAATACCTGCAAAAAAAAAAAAGCACCAACAAAATTCACCATTAATTCATGATAAAAACAATGACTCTCAGTAAATTAAGATAAAAGGGAACCTCCTCAGCCTAATAAGTGATAAAACAGAAATTCAAGGGAACTTTCTTAACCTGGTAAAGGGTATCAACAAAAACATCATACTTAATGGTGAAAGACAGAGAGCTTTCACCCAGTATTAGCAGTAAGGCAAGTATGTTTGTTAACTATTCCTAGTCAACATATTAAAAGTCCTAGCTAGCACAATAAAGAAAAAGAAATAAACCACATAATGTTTGGAAAGGAAAGAATGATATTACCTCTATTCACATATGGCATGACTGTCCACACAGAAAAATTCCAAGGAATCTACAAAAAAGTTCCTACAACTAGTAGTTTAAGATTAGAGGTCACTATAAAAAAAAAACAAAACACCATATCACTACATACTAACAATGAATAATCAAAAAATAAAATTAAAAAAATTATTTACAATAGCATCATAAAAACCCGAGATATATGTAACTATAAGCCTAGCAAAATGTGTGCATAATCTGTATGCTTAAAACTACAAAACACTGATGATAAAAATAAAACAGTGGGGAAATAGCGCCATGTTCATAGTTTGGAACATTCAATATTGTTAACATGTTAATTCTCCCCAAATTAATCTATAGATTCAAGTGCAATCCTAATATAATCCTAGCAGATTTTTGGGGGGGTGGGGTGGGAGGGTAAAAACTGACATTCTAAAATTTATATAGAAAGGCAAAGGAGCTACAATAGCCAAAACACATTTTTAAAAATTAACAAATTTAGAGGATTTGCACTATCTGATTTCTTCACTTAATATAAGTCTACAGTAATCAAGGCAGAAGTTAACTGGTAGAAGGGTAGACACACAGATCAACAGAACAGATCAGGAGTTCAGAAACAGAACCAGTCTACAAAAATGTAGACTAATTTTTAACAATAGAAGAAAAAAAATTAAATGGAGAAAAGTTTTTCCCAAAAATGTTTCTTCAAAATATTAGACATTCATATGGAAAAAAAAAAAAATATGCCCATATCTCACAGCACAAAATTTAACTTAAATAAAACGTCAAGAAGAAAAAATTCTTTGTGACCTTGGGTATGGCCAAGATTTCTGATGCAAAAGCATGACCAATAAAAGCAAAACTTAACAGATTGGATTTTATAAAAATTTAAGACTTTATGCTCCACAAAATGCACTGTTAAGAGAAGAAAAAGGCAAACCACAGACTGGGAAAAAAATATTTACAAAACAATACCTGATAAAGTATCTACATCCTGAGTATTTTAAAAAAACACTCTAAGCCAAAATAACAATCAACAGAATGCAAAGATAATGCATGGAATGGAAAAAAAAATTACAAAACAAATATTTGATAAGAGGTTAATATCTAGATTATATAAAGAGTTCCTGCAGTTCAACACTTAAAAGAACAAGCAATCTGATTAAAAATGGGAAAAAACTCAAATATATGGAGAAGTCTATGTTCTGTTTTGCCACAATTTTTAATAATCTCAATAGTAAGAAAACAAACAACCCTAAAAATTGGCAAAAAAATTTGAATACATTTTACTAAAGAAGATATGTGGATGACAAATAAGCACATCAAGAGATGCTCAACATCATTAATATAAACTAAAACTATAATGAAATACCACTAGACACCTATTAGAATAGCTAAAAAAAAAATTTGTTTTTAATCTGACAATACAGGTTGAGTGTCCCTTACCCCAAAAGCTTGGGACCAGAAGTGTTTCAGATTTCAGACTTAGGAACATTTGCCTTTACTTACTGGTTGAGAATCCCTAATCCAAAAATAAAAAATGCTCCAAATGAGCATTTCCTTTGATCGTCATGTCAGCACTCAAAAGTTTTAAAATTGGAGCATTTCAGATTGGAAGTGCCCAACCTGTAACGGGTTGATGGGGATACAGAGCAGCTGGAGTTCTTATATACTGCTGGTGGGAATGTAAGACGGTAAAGAGAATTTGGCAGTTTCTTATAAAATTAAACACCATACTGCCCACAGCAATTCCAATCCTAAGTATTTAACCAAAAGAAATAAAAAATTATGTTTATATGAAAACCTATAGACTAAAGATTTTTCATACTCACCAAAAACTGTAAACCTCAAATGTATCACAACTGGAGAACCAGTACACAAATCGTACAACAAAATGCTACTCTGCTGCCTATGACCATACTACCTTGAATGCACCCAATTCATCTGACATGCTACTCAGCAATAAGAAGGAACTATTAATAACCACTGATACAATAACATTATGGAGAAACCTCAAATGCATTCAGTTAAGTGTAAGAAGACAGCCTCAAAAGGCTACATATTGTACGAGGACATTTTGGAAAAGGTAAAAGATAAAAACAGAAAATGTTATTACTGGTTGTTAAGTGTTAGAGGTAAAGGGATGGAGAAGACTACAAATGAGCACAGTGAAAGTTTTAAGGAGATGGAATTGTTCTATTTTTAATTGTGGTGATGATTACACGACTATATGTACTTGTCAAAACTCAGAACTGTATACTAAGGATCAACCTTACTGTATGTAAACTGTATCAATATAAACAACAAAGATACTAAGAAAAATAAATGTAATGTGATAAAATAATAGTCAAATCATGGAGCAAACAGTCATAAGGTATGAAGTTATTTTACATGAAAAATGTGCTACATATCAGCACAATTCAAACAAAAGGAGGCCATATTTTAGTTTTATAAAAGTTAAGGTTAGTATTATTTAATGATTTCCTTCATCATTTAGTCAGACATTAAAAAGTTGACTGAGTCTTATCTGAAAACCATTGTTCTTAAATAATTAATTTAGCCGGGCTCGGTGGCTCATCCTGTAAACCCGCGCCTTTGGGAGGCTGAGGTGAGTGGATTGCCTGAGCCCACGGGTTTGAGACCCGCCTGGGCAGCGAAACCTTATCTCTACAATAAATCAAAAAATCAGCTGGGCGTGGTAGCACATGCCTGTAATTTCGGCTACTTGGAAGGCTGAGGCGGAAGGATCGCCAGAGCCCAGCAGGTCGAGGCTGCGGTGGCCGGGAGCGGCCACTGCACTCCAGTCTGGGTGACAGAGTGAGACTCCAACTCAAAAAAAAAAATAATTAATTTACTCATTTACTTATTGTGTGCAGATTCAAACATTCATGAGATAATAAGGGACAGGGTCCAGGCACATGATTTTTCCCCTCTCCATCTTCCTGGATACAGCTAATAGAAACAGTAAGTATAAAGTATATGGCCTAAATTTAAATATTCTCTCTTTCTATACATGCTACAAGATGGAGAGTTATAAGTAGAATCAGCTCTCTTCAAAGGGAGGAAAGAGAGTTTGGGGAAGCACTTAACTTTAAGAATTGCTAAAACATGAACTGGTGCCATTACTCCCATTTTAAACATATGAGAACCAAGGTTTTAGAAGGAGACTGAATCACTTGCCCATTAATGAATCAATAGAAGGGTAGAATTAGAATTCAATTTCACAGCAGTCTCACTTCTGATAAACTTCTGACTTTTACCAAGCTTACTACTACTAATCTCTACTGATTCATCTGCAATTGTTTAAGCAACAGCTCGGGTCTACATGTTTCATATCAACAAGTATCTTTCAAGATTTTACTATGCACACAACCTGTTTCAATTTTAAGCCTCAAGTCTACAATATATGCATATACACTGAGTTTGTAATTTACACTAATGTGAAGAGTCTTTGACCACTCAAAATTTCAAAAAACACACTATTAACTTTCTTAAGTCAGGAATAAAAACAGCAAATATACAAGTAACAACAAAAGGATAAATGAAAAAGTAATCATGCTCACTTTTGACCTTAATAAAAATTTTATTGTTAACTCTAATTTTAAACAAAAGAATATAGAAAATGTTTTCCCCTTTCTCCTGGCTTCCTGCTATTGTTTTCAAAAGCGGGCAGTATCCTGAGTTATACACAGATTATTTACTGCAACAGAAACTCACCCTGTGAAGCGTCACTGTGTGTTGTTCCCATATAGCTGTTTCCTCCATTGCTGTGTTCTGATAAAGGGAAAGAAAAACAAATCATTTACCTTTTAAGAAAATGTCCTTAATAAGTGAACAAGCACATCCAGCAAACAACTTGGCACACTGAAATACCAAAATTCCTACTATTAATATTAGAGATACTCTGAAAGGAGCGTAATAATTATGGAAAGTTTTTTGTTTGCTTTTAAGAGACAGGAAACTACACACAGTAATTTCCTTTGTTTTTAACTTAATTCGAACAGAGGCTGCTCTATATTCACTTAACACCAGCTAAAACTGGTATTCGAGTGAATTCTGCAACTTTATACTTATCACCAGATAGAAAAGAAAAAAGTTGTAATATTATTATTTTAAAATGTCTAATGGCCATAAACATTTAAAAGCACTCCTTACATTTTGCAAAGGAAAAGCTAAATACTTCTGAACACAGTAGTTATAAATACATATGGTACCAGAAAACAGATAAAACCACTGATGCTGGCCAATGGTTGCTTTAGTGTCACAATTAAACATGACTGCTCTACCTAATTTCAGTTTTACTATCGAAGTATCTGCTCAAGCTTTGTTTATAACCAAAAGAAAAAAACAGCTTTTCTAGTACATGTATTATACACATGTGTACACACGCAAGAAACAAATAAGAAAAACAAGTGACTGACAACCCCCAACCTTCCAAGAATCACCTTAAAGCGATGCAAGCCCATATAGGTCCTACTTAAACCATAGTGTAGTACAGTTTCATCTCCTGTCACGAACCTCTTACTAGAGAGGAAAATGATTAACTAAGGGATGACACTAAATAATTCAAAATAAATTTCTTTTAAATGGGGTTAATTGCTCTTGGAGGCTTAAAAGTAATTCAATGTCTCTTAATGTTATCATTTTATGTATTTGGGGTTCCTAAAATGCTTTACAAATCAATTTTTTAAAAAGGTATTTCCATGTTATAAAAAGGCATAGCAAAATGGGAGAATGCTGAGCATGACATTCTCTGAACACGACTTGTCCACCCATTGTTTATAAATGCCTATTTTCCCAAGTGATATCCGTTTTCTGTTACACTGCTGTCATTAGCAGCATAAGAATATGCCTATCAAGGTGCCACGGGCCCATCTCTCTCCTTTCCCACAGCAACTTTAATTGAAGATTAATGCCATTTTAGAAAATAAATCCTTATAAAGAAAGCCTGCTTCCCTAAATTCAAAGCAATTAGATTAACTTTCCTGCCAGATGAATGGGAGAGGTAAGAGAAAAGATCACTCAGTTCACGCCCATAGATAAGAACTGCCAACCTCACCACTGTTTTGTTTCAATCTTCCAATCAAGTGCAGCAAAACCTCCTTTTAATGAGACCTCTGTTGGAAACAAAGCTGTTTTTTGTTTTATTTAAACAAAAATTGACTGGGATTTAATGCATTTTTTTAAAAAAGCTCTTCCATCGCGGAGCAATGGTGGTATGAGTAAATCTGCTAAGTATCAACAGTCCCGCTAAAATATACATGATAAAAAATGTCTGCAACAATTGCCACTTTGTCCAATCTCAGCTGACATTACAAATGAGAACTGCTTGGATAGCTCTGAGCTCATCTTTTCTTGATTCACTTCATTGATTAGTAACATTGCTTTACTGCCTTTTTAATCCCTTTCCTATCAGTCCAAACAGCAGGTGATCTGATAACACACACTTACTCTCCTTAATAACATACTCTTTGGTACCAAATAGTTTATCATGGTCTTAGTGAACACATAGTTTTCCATTTTGTAAAAGAATATTAATATCAATCAAATAAGGAAACTCATTTAGTGTTACACAGGGTTTGAAAAGCAGGTTATGAAACTGCTTGTATACTGTCATCCTGATTTTGTTTAAACATGAATAGGAAAAAAAGGCTGAAAGGATAACAAAACATTAACACTGATCACCTTCAAAGTGAAAGAATTGTGGGTGACATTTTTTCATCAGGTGCTTTATCTTTTGGCTTTCCTTTCTCCATTTCCAATCAGAACAAACTCCATTTCCAATCAGAACAAAGTATTTTAAACCATATTCAACGAAATCCCATTCCTACTTAAAATTTCAAATACAGACAGTCCCTGAATTACCATGGGTTAACATAAACATTTTTCCATTTCATGAAGGTACTCATAAAACCATTGTTTTCCCTTTTCAGTACAGCATTTAGTAAGTTGCTTGAGATATTCAGAACTTTATTATAAAGTAGGTTGTTGTGTTAGATCATATTGCCCAACTATAAGCTAACATAAGTATTCTAAGAACGTTTAAGGGAAGCTGGACTAATAACTTCTTATGTTTAGTAGGTCGTCAAATGTATTAAAAACATTTTCAACTTATAATATTTTCAACTTATGATGGGTTTACTGGGATGCAGCCCCATTGTGAGTTGAATAGCACCTGTATCTACTTTTAACTTAGCTTTTGGGAAAATCAAATAATGTTTAAGAGGGTTATTTTATGCCTTGTTAATTACAAAATGTATTTATTGTTAGTAAAAAAAAATCTATACATTAAGGTCTTAATGTACAGTTCTCCTGGAGTACAGTAAGCGAAATTTGTACAAATATTCTCAGCATTTCACATCAAAATCAATAGTTGTTTTTTGTTTTTTTTTTTTGGCAGAATCAGAAAAGTATACATCTCAAACAACTTCCCAAAAAGGGTGATACTCACTTCTTTGTTAAAGTCAAACATATTTTATTAGTTTTGTTTAACTGAAGGATGATCTATGTAAAAGAAGGTAACAGAGAATGAAACATCAAAAGGAGTGGTTAGTTAGGCTCTTGACCATCACGAAACCAATTTAATCCATAATATAAGTAAGTTACTACGTCTTACCACTCCTCACCATCTTAAAAAAAAACAACAGAAAAATGTATTTCTAAGTTTAAACCATGAACCATGTCATCTCTATCCACTTTCTAGATTGTCATTTGCTTCAGTGGCAAAAGCAGTAAAATTCTATCCCATGGTTGTTCATATAACCAGGTGGTCCTTATGAGGAGTTCTGAATGAACTGCGGGATGGACAGATGAACACACACACAGATATGTGATAATGCAATGCAGCAAAATGATAATGATAGGATCTCAGTGGTTGGAATTCAGGTATCCACTGTCACTTTTTTCAATCTTGTTAAATATTTGAAAGTGATCATAATAAATTGTTGGGGGAAAAAACCTAAGGAGCTTCTAGTAAATCACTCAGAAGTCAAAGCTAAAACTGACATAAAACATTTTTAGTGCCAGTACATTTACTAAGTACTAATTTCATGAGCACTTCATAAAGAAAAAATGCTCATTAATGACTGAGAATGTTGATGGTTTAGAAAAGGGGATGGGGATTCTTTGGAAGAAAACCCAAGAAACCTCTGGGGTGAAGAAAAAAAACCCAAGGTTGGGGGAGTCATACTTTTTCACTGTGAGTACTTCTGCACTATTTAATCACATCCATCCATTACTTACCAAATAAGTGATTTTTAAAACTCACTATCCTAGCCGGGCTCGGTGGCTCAGCCTGTAATCCCGCGCCTTTGGGAGGCTGAGGTGAGTGGACTGCCTGAGCCCGCGGGTTCGAGACCCGCCTGGGCAGGCGATAGTTCATCTCTACAATAAATCAAAAAATTAGCTGGGCGTGGTAGTGCGCACCTGTAGTTCCAGCTACTTGGAAGGCTGAGGCAGAAGGATCGCCGGAGCCCAGCAGGATGAGGGAGTGGTGGCCAGGAGCGGCCAATGCACTCTTGGGCAACAGAGTGAGACTCCAACTCAAAAAAAAAAAAACAAAAAACACAACTCACTATCCTTACTGTAAACTTGCTTGTCATTTTTCTTATTAAAAAATACAAATGAATAACTGCATAAATTGCACAAGGACCTTCTGGTACATTACCAGTCTAATTCCCAAAGCATTTAGGCTTGTAGGAGACCAATGGAAAAATATATTATTCCTCTAAGCATGATTCTAGCACTATCATTTTCTAGTAACTCTGAAAGATGGTGTTAAACAGAAAATGAACTAGACCAGAAATAATGGGCCACAATTCAAGTCTGTCATTAGCCAGAAAAGTGACTTTGGATATCCTCACCTATAAAATTAGGGAATTGGAAGAAACTACCTCAGATAAAAAGACCTTTCTAGCTCCAAAATTCTATTAGACTCTAATTCCAATGAACAGGCTACAAATTCAATAATTAGTAAAGCACTGCAGGTATCAAAAGTGAATGCAATTCATGGTTGCTGGATTCAGACTTCTGCGCACATTTCTAAGTCAGAATCAACTGACTAGAATCACAATTTATGAAGAAGCAAAGAGCTGCATTTCAGAATCTGCCAAGAGTTTCTTTGGTTTCTTTGTTATAGGCTCCAGCTGGCAAAGAAACCACTCAGATCACCAACTCTCAAGGGCTTCCTGCCAAAGCTTCAGATCCCAATTCTAGGCAGTTTCACGTCCTTTAGAACTGATTACAAAACTAACGGGGATAGACTAGAGAGCACACAAATTGACAAGACAGGATGAACTTATAATTGACAGAAGATCAAAATCAAAACAGAATATATAAAGCAGGTATACTACAAAAGAAAGAACTCTTTAACACTGCCTAAATACATAGCCAGTTAAACTTTACTATCCTCGTGGTGGTAGTTTAAAAAACAATCTAGTCATTTATTCATTTGACAAACATTTATCAGAAATGCTAAGTGTTGTGGAGACACAAAATAGATACTGTCCCCTCCCTAGGGGTTCAAAGAAGCAGCTTAGAAAACCAGATAAATGGGCCAGGCTCTGTGGCTCAGCCTAATCCCAGCACTTTGGTAAGCCAAGGCGAATGGACTGCCTGAGGCTGAGGTTTGAGACCAGCCTGGGCAACTTGGCGAGACTTTGTCTCTACAATAAATAAAAAACTAGCCAGTCGTGGTAGCACACGCCTGTAGTTCCAGCTACTTGGAAGGCTGAGGTGGAAGGATCGCTGGAGCCCAGGTCAATGCTGGGGTGGCC